ACAATGGTACGGTACCTAACTTTAATTATTTATTTGTTTATCTATTATTGGCTGGTAATTAATATTCCATCCTGTACCTAAGTCTTTTTAAAGGAACACCAAATTTCTAGTAAAACACTTACGTCAAGAGATGATGATAACATCGTTACACTAGAACTATGATTTTTTATATTACTACTAGTAATTAATAATACTTATAAAAGCTGATACTTCGTTTGAAATTATGTCACCTCAGTGAAATTGTTTGACACTGTTGTTTTGGTTTCTGGGTTATTATGTAATAAAAAAGAAGCAGCAGAATTAAGAACAAGAAATTCAAACTTTTTTGCTATGATATTTACAAGACATTGCCAGAAATTGTGACTCAGTCATTACATAAGTAATATTATTATTATATAAGGAAACACTGTATAGTATTGTAAAGTTCTGATGACCGATTCAGGAGATATTTAAAATAACATTTCTATGAACAATCCGGACCACCATTATATAGGCAGTGCTACCGTCTGCCTGACAAGTAATGAATTTCCTTCCGGATTGAAATTTTGGAAAGAATACTTTGTGAGATCTTATAGGTTCCCAAATAATAATACCAGGATCTTGTAGAAGATGTTGTTATTCAGGATTCAGTAAATATCATAGGCTCCATAAAATTAAACTCATCCTACAAGAAATGTATTCTCATGATTATTCTCGGGATTGATTCAATCCTGTAGGCTCTTTTGAAAGTTATTTCTTGAATATGATAAAATAGTACTAGAGTACTATTAAAAATAGGAGACATACTTTGGGCAAGGTAAATTATTTATTGTATTTATTTAACATGTGCTGGGGCAGTTACTGTGTTCATTAAAAAAAAAAATCATAGTAACTGAGCGTTAAGTCCGAAAGCTTATAACGCTAAAAACCAGGTTTTAATACCCATAGTTTGCCCAGCACAGGTAGGCAATTGTGTGACTTTGTGTTTAACAACTAACAAACAAACAAGTAAGTGAAAATATAGTTCTTGGTTATGGAATTAAACCTTAAAAATTTAAATAAAAATGCATATTATTAGAGTACCAAGATCATGAGAGCTGAAACCATATTGTTACCATTCGGATTATTATTATTATAAATTGATTTGGCTGACGCCTTTCCATGGCGACTTTCAAGGTTTCCAAGTGGGTTTATCAAAATACAATGCGATACTATCTGTATATACAATGAAATAAGTTACTTACAATAGTGACACAAAGTAGCAAACAATACATCCCATAATAAATTCACTACAGGGAACAACAACAGAATAAAGTGAAATTCATTAAATGATATTGCAAGGGTAAATGTAAAGGTAGAGACTGTCCAATAGAAATAATAAATTAAAGCTACTCAACAGTCCTAAAGACTTTTTCAATTTTTGTTGTTGTAACAATGCAAAATAATACTCATATTTAAGAAATTACATAGAAAACAAATACATTGTCAATGAAGGATAACGAATATATAAATATTATAAGAATGAGTATGAAAAGGGAACCGACTACAAGGCTGAAAGAAAAATGATACCATGCTGAACCCAAAAGTAAATCCATCATTAGGTAAAAATATACAGGGTGGTCCAAAATTATCTTTCCTATTTTAAAAATTTGTTTGTAATTAAGCACAAAGCTACACAATGGGCTATCTGTGCTCTGCTCACCACGAGTGAATTAATAATTAAATAAATACAACCATGCAGTTTTCAATACCTTGTAGCCCAACTCAAACAGTTTATTGTCATGTTTTGTGTTTTTTCACACCAGTGAGTAATGCTACCCCGTAAAATGACAACTGTGTAAGAAAAGGCTTAATGCGGTGGATTGGCCGGGTTGGGCCAATTCCATAGACTCCATGTTCACCAGACATCACTCCATTAGACTTCTTTTTTGGGGGTATGTTAAGGACATCGTGTATCTCCCACCTATAGTAAATATCACAGAGTTAAAGACCAGGATAATGGATGGCATCTCCACTATAACTGTGGAGATGCTGAGGCAACGTGGACTGAAATCGAATACCAGTTAGACGTGCTGAGAGCCACTAATGATGCACACGTAGAAGTCTAGTGACGTACTGAGGTAATACTGAGAGCTTATGATGCTTATTTATCAAAAGAACTCAACTGTTGGTACTATATAAAAGGTTTCTATTAACTCTTATTACTTTTTTGTTTTTCAACATACTTTTTGGGGGGTCTTGAGACCACTTATGATCGTTAGGACACATTAGATGTGTCCTATCTTTGATTCTCGAGCATATTTAACTAGTGACGCCCATCTCTTCTTCAGGTAGCTGTTCCTAATGTTACGACAGCGGATGTCACGTGACGCTGGTGGCTTGCGTGAGGAGTTTCTCGAATTATCGGGAAAGTCCGCGAATGTTGGAGATGCCTCTTCGTTAGTATATAAGCCAGCGGGGACATAGGTTGTGAATCGCTGTGATTTATAGCGTGTATTATAAAATGTGTTAAGTTTAAATTGACGAGAAACGTACTGATTGTGGAACTACTGTGTACTAAAAGTTTGTATCCAGGAAGAATAAACTGGTTTAATCAAGAAAGGACATGTATCGCTGAAGATCGTCGGAAAGAATTTCTACCAGAAAGAAACAAACAAGCAGATACGTAACACTAATTTATCAGCCAGTTAACACCATCCTCCGCCAACTTTTGGGCTACTCTTTTACCATTGAATAGTTGGATTGATCGTAATACTATAACGACCCTAGGGCTGAAAAGGCGCGCATGTTCAACGACGGGGACTCAAACCCGAGACCTGCAGATTGCGAGTGAAACGCTCTAACCACCAGGCCTTGCCAGACCCCACGTAAAAGCCTTACAAGTTATTAAAACCATCAAATAACTCGTTCACCAGAAATTTAATATCTATCTTCAAATATATGATTGAGAAGAAATAAATTATTGCTTTAAGAAGGTTTTATAAAAAGGAAGAGTATATTTAAAAATTAATGTTAATGGACTGCACGTGTCTTGGAAGTTTTTGGATGATGGTTGGAGCAGCTCGAAATGTCACCCAAAAACTTTCAAGACAGATGCAGTCCATTAACAATACCTTTCAAGAAACAAATTTAAAAAAGGGTAAATTCAAGTAACGTACGATCTTCTTAGCCAGCTGAAAACGTTATTTTAAAACGAAATGTAGCTGTTTTTTGTTTGTTTTTAGTGATTATGTGAGTCCAGAAAAATCTCTTTATATTACTTTTTTATTTCAATGACATGATTCTTATATGTTAAAGAAACAATAAACTTACAAGTTATTTATTTATTTTATTTTTCGAAATGCAAGGATATTAAAGTCACGTGCGTCGAATGGTATGGTAGCATTTATAGTTGACGTATGCCAAGGTTTTCATGCAGCAACAGTCAAGATTTTTGTAGATCTCTTAATGATATTGTTTTGTTTTTCTAAATCACATAACGTTGTACGGATTATATTTAAAATATCCAAACTGACTGAAACATGATAAAAGCTATTCTTGTTTTCAATAATCATGGTAAACCTAGACTTACAAAGTTTTACTATCATTATGTGAGTATCTGATTCTTACTCTTACTTTTATTGGATTGTGTTTCAAAAGTTACTGTCTGAAGTGTAAACGCCGAAAGCTGGTCAATCACTGGAAACAAATAGGCATTAAATTTGTGATAAAAATCTCTCAACCGGCAGATATTTCTTTTAATTCGTTAATTTAATTTTACGTGATTTTTTTTATTACAAGTTTTACTACGTTTTAGGCTTATCGATATCATGTATCAACATCTTTACGTTGAATAGGCTTAAGTTAAATAATAGAATTAAAAATGTAAATTACTGTCCAAGCATATAAATTATAACATAAGTTATAACAACTGGTCCAAAAAATTTTATATTTTCACCCAAACTCAGTTGCTAGCAACTTATAATATTAATTATCAAAAAACGTTTCAAGTTCAGTTTGTAAAATTTCGAAATCAGTAATACTAATACTACAAGTTGAACTATAATATAATAACACCTACTAATACTATATAAGTGACAAGAGACCATTTAATCTTTCAAAGTTTTATTTTGGAAGAAATCATTGAATACTTTTCCCATATGTGCTTATCTCCACCATAACTGATACTGCATATAGAAAGTCAGTTTATAAGCTAAGCAACCAGTTAACAAGAAAAATAAAACTGTTAACTGGAGCCCAGCATGTATTTCCCAAATTTCCAATTTTATTCTATCAATTGGTTTTCTATTGTGATCTTAAATAAAGTTCATTTGTTACCCTTCTTTTCTTAAGAGAAAACAAAAGTTTTAACTTATCCCCATAAGATAACCCTTCTGTCTCCAAAATTATACTTGTAGCCCCCCGCTGGACTATTTTAACAAATCAGTAACTTTACTTATATAAGAAGACCATGACTGAACACAGTATTCCAAATGAATTTTAGTGTAACTAGTGGATTGTATAAAGAGGTAATTATGTATTTTCACTTGTAATCAGTTTATATCTGCTCAAATTCTGTGAGCTTTACTACTAGCAACAGAGCACTACATTGATGGTTTTAGTGACTTATACACCCCTATGCCAAGATTCTTTTCTTCAGTTATGTTACTGAATTGGTCCCAATTTATATTAAATGTGAGACCCTAATTATGATAACCTGGTGACTCCAAATTTTGGGGGCAGTGTGGCCTAGTGACTTTGTGCTGTCAAGTTGTAGTTGATGGTTGTGAGTTTCACCTCATACTGTTATTGCCTTGACCAAGACACTTTACCCAATTCTTCCAGTCTACCCAGCTGTTAGCTGGGGGTTAACCTGTAATAGATGGGCATCCCATTCAGGAAGAATGCATCACAATGTCATCTGCTTCTGCCACTTCAAGCTGGAGATTGAAAGCACTGGTCCTTTGTCCCTTACAAGGCACTGCACAGATTTATCGTTCTGTAGTACTTAAACATCATCAATACAGTTAGAAATACCAAAGAGTTTAATCTCATAAGTAAACTTGACTAATCATTATTATGAATATCATTAATTAAGGCTCAATCATTTAAACATGGGGCACTCCACTAATCACAAGAGTTCAGTTTTACTGGACTGTGTTAATAACTATTTTGCTATCTGTTATTCAAACATTTTACAATCCCATTTACTAGTCTTTGTTCAACCTTTTATTGATTGATTTTCTTAGATAATCTTCTGTGTGATACCTTGTCAAAAACATTTTGAAAGTCTAATTACACAAGATCTACACCTTTTTCATTCTATAGGCATGTAACATCCTCAAAAAGAAGAAAGTTAACAGCTTAGTAAGGCCATATTTCTCTAAATTTCACTAAATGATTTTGTAAAGTCTTGTATCATATTGTCTGTATATGTTCTCAGTAAAGAAGTAAGCCTGACTGCCCTATAATTTCCAGGGCGATTCTTATATCCTTTGAAATTAGGAATAACATTTAGCAAAGCTTTCTAAACTTCAGGCACCTGCCCACTGTCTGTTGACCACAAAAAATGAAACATGATCCAAATTATGACAACTCAAGTGCAGTACCTGGCAGTTACTGTAATTAAAGCTCATCTATCAACTATATATATATATCCAACTTACCAATTTTTAAAAATCTTTCCATGATATCTCAATACAGTAAATATAATTGAGGTAAATTAATCTCATAAGAAAACTTTACTAACTTACTAGTAAAGGGTGGGTACGTAGGAACAGCATTGAAAAACCAAATTGTTCCGTATTGTCCATAGATTATTGTATATTATCTTATTATATCCTTACTAATATAAGTAAGAAGAAGCTAACTCCCAAGCACTGACCCCAGAGGTGCACTACCATTATTTTTATATTATTGTTCAAATTAGTGCCAATGTTATTGCGTGGATTGATCCTGAAGTACGCATAACTTAAAACTTCATTTTAAAGTTCAACTTAAACCTAAAAGCGAATTTTTAATGATTTAATTGTTAAAAAACATAAGAACAACAAGGCTGCCCTTGCATACTCACTTTTTGGTAAAGTAAAGACTTGGGTCCACCCTTTACTTTTCTGAAAATTGCTGATTCCACCTCCTCTAAAGTACTTGCCTTCACTACAGCTGATGGCAACTCATTCCATGAGCCAATCACCTGGTAGAAAAAAACAACTGTCTTAACTGGAACCTAGCAATCTTTTCCAAATCTTAAAATGTGACTTCTTACCCTATCATCTTCAGAATGAAATTAGAGCCTTTTATCATAATAATCACCACAACTTCAATAAATCTCTTATTCATCTTTTCTCAAGTGAAAATAAATTAAAAGATCCTATTCTATCCTCATAAATTAACCCTTTTATCACTTCAATCATTCTATTAGACCAATAATTTGATCAGTATCCTTTCTTAGATAGACTAAGACTATAGAGACTATTCCAAATGAGGCATAACTAGTAATTTAACAATATGATACCTGTTGGTCCATCTCGGCTGTCCCGTCCTTGAAACTAAACTAAAACTATTAAATGAATAAATAAATAAAATACTCTTAAAGCCAGCCCTTATCATCTGTATAGTTATCAAGCTTTCTCATAAACTCACTTAAATTTACTGCCTCCACAACATCCAAAGGCTAACCCCCATGTCAGAAAAATAAAACTGTCTTAGCTGAAGATGACTCCTACCCTGCCAAAATGTATATTTGTGTCCAATAGTCCTACCAATATCACCATGAACTATGAAAAAGATTATGCATCATCACTGTCAGTTCCCTTTATAATCTTAAACACCTAAATCGGATCCCCTCTAACTCTTCTTTTTGTCAAGAGAAAACAGTTTCAAATATCTTAACCTCTCTTCGTATGACAACCCTTCCATCCCAGGCACCATTCTAGTAGTTCTCCTCTGAACCCTTTCCAACAATTCAATGTCTTTCATAAGGTAAGGAGCCCAAGACTGAACACAATACTCCAAATGTGGCCTAACCAGTGACCTGTAAGTTGAAATTATAACCTCTTTAGACTTTTATTCAATATTTCTGTAGATACAATATAAAATCATATTTGCCCTACCACAACTTAGAAGACTTAAGAGACTGAACACCCATTACACCATACGGACTTATTTACATGTGCTGCAAAAAAGTTTGGGACATTAAAAGTGTGCTGCAAGCTAAAAGAAGTTTGGGAAGCACTGCTCTAAGCTTCCCAATTCATAACAAGCTCGGGATTAAGGCATTCATCTTGTTTCCATCTATCAACTGTTCAAGATGAGGAATACTACTTAAATGTTCATTAGTAAAAAATGAATAAAAAAACAAGTTAATAACCCAATCATCTCATATTCATCAGTCACAAGCCTTCCTTTATCATCCCTCAAGGGATCTTGATGTAATGATTGATCAGTCTCTTAAGCCATCTAAGTAGTGTGTTGTTATTAGTTGTAGGGTAAATAGGATTTTAGATTATATCTATAGAAATACTGAATACAAGTCTAAAGAGGTTATAATTTGTATAGAAAGATAAATTCTGTTGACTTGTAATCAGTATGTCTGTATAAGTATACCTGAGAATACTGTTGGCTTTACTACTAACAACAGAGAACTGCACTGATGGCTTGAGTGGCTTATCCATCACTGCCCAATCCAGATGCTTTTCTTAATTCATGCTGTTGATTCCAATGTACAGTAAACATATAATCCAAATTATGACCACACAAATGTATTACCTTGCACTTGCTATAATTGTTTGTCCAACTCTGCAATCAATCCAGGTCATTTTTTAGTACTTTAACATGATCATACAGTGGGAAATACCAAAGAGTTTAACATGGTCAGCAAACTACTAGTTTACAAATTATGTCCCTATCAATAATATTATTGTTTTTTGACTGGAAAAAGTAACGACTTGTTCTTGTGCTTTGACCAAGAAAATGGATGTTTTTTCTGCAACAAACAACACTATGCAACAAAATTTTCAACTATGTTAAAAGACTTTGCAAAACATCTTATATCATATTTTTAACAATTTTTCCAACTGAATAAATAGAGTTGTTTAAACATTTGTTTAACAACAAGTAAAAGCTTGGAATGGTATATTCTTTCATTGGGGGTGTGTCTTGAGCCAGACTAGTTTCAGAGAATTCCAACTCCTCAGTGACCCTGGACACTCCCACCAATGAAATAACAGACCAAACCAAGCCTTTATAGTAGTGAGGTATCGAAAATCTAAATGGTGTATTAAAGTGTTTTACACTCACAAAAAAGAAACCTATCATTCTATAGGTATTTGAAGTACTTGTAGCATTTCGCCACAATTTAATTCTTCGTATTGTTAGCCTTTTTAGCCGACACTGGGCAGCTGGTGCATAATTGAATAGAGTTGTTTAAACATTGATAGGTTTCTTTTTTGTGAGGGTAAAACACTTAAATACACCATTTAGAATTATTTTGTACATACATCTGACTTGTTTTGAATATATCATTTTAAAACAAATAGATAGTGTGCTGTTCATTTATTCTTTGAATTTATTGCCAGAAAGTTATAGACATCAACTGTAAAAGAATCCCAGC